CATTGCTTAATGGCACAAGAAGTTCCCAACTCACCTTGTGTTTTCTTGTTCTGGAATTGGAGTTAGCTTTTTCTTCAAGGAATCAGTTTCATTTTAATGGAGAATAGTAGTAAGGAAATATTTGCTTTCCTGTTACCAAAAAAAGCAAATATTTACATGTACTTCAGTTTCTCCTTTCTCATTATTTTTTTTTTTTAAGATTTATTTATTCATACAAGAGCTGGGATACAGGCCAGAGATGCGGGGGGTGAGAGGATTTACCAGAGACAGAGTGGGGAACAGAACAGGCAGACTGACTAAAATCCATTGCTGAGGGGAGCAGCGGGCGAGACAGGAGAGTCTGCTGCGCCATGTGTGTTGCTCCCTGGCTGGCTGGGGATCCAACTCGTGCTGCAGAGGCTGAGGATTGCTTCATAGTGCGGTGCTTAACCCCTTGCACCACCAGGGAGGCCCTCTCATTATTTTTAACTTTGTTCTTTCAAGTTAAAAACATAGCTGGTGGGCCTCCCCGGTGGCGCAGCGGTTGAGCGCTGGCTTGCGAAGCTGCCCGCGGCCTCTGCTGCGCAGGTTCGATCCCCGGCTGCTCCCCGGCCACAGGAGGAGGGTCCCACATGGCGCGCAGACCTCTCCTGCCGCCCACTGCTCCCCTCAGCAGTGTGCTTCGGTCCTTCTGCCTGCTCTGCTCCCCGCTCTGGCTCTGGTGAATTCTCTCACCCTCCCGCGCTTCTGACTGTACTCAGTGCATGTATAAACAAAACAAACAAACAAATAAATAAATAAATAAATAAAATATGCCTCTATTTAAAAAAAAAAAAACCAAAAAAACATAGCTGGGACTTTTCACAACAAAGATATTTCTTTTTCCTTTTCCTTTTCCCTTTTCTCCCCCTCTTCTGTCTTTGAAGAATATCGCAAATGTTTACCATAATTTATTCAACTGCTCTTGGACATTAAGGGTGGTTTCGAAGATTTTGATATTTTAGAGACTTTATATAGGATGATATAGTGAGTAACTTGAGAGTATGGTTTTTTATATTTGTGGAATTGTATCTCAAGAGTAAATTTTTAGAGGTGAATTTGTAGATTCAAGGGTAAACTCCTGTGCAATTTTATTAGCAAATAATCTGAGGGAATAAAAGCATAGGTAGAAGGAAACAGCAGGTATGAAAGCTGCAGGGCTGGGGTATATAACTGGTATGTTGAAGGGACAGCAAAGGGGCTACAGGATGAAACCAGTCTTGAGATGAAAGGTAACCCACCCCAGATCCTATTACCTAGTGCTGACCGGAATTGGAACCCTGGTCTCCATATATCCAGTCCATGCAGCACACTTATTAGACAAGGAATGCATACACCAAGAGGAGGAACAGGCTAGATCAAAGCTAGTGTTGTCAGGGCTACTAGGTCAGATAAAGAAGTTTATACAGACCAGGGTCAGTAAGACTTCGTGGTTGAGGTGGGATGTGAAGGATGGTTAGGACTGGAGTAGCAGTTGAAGGGAACAGTTCCTTGTTTCTAGTTTTTATTTATTTACATTTTTAAATATTTATTTATTTATGCATACAAGAATGGGGATACAGGCCAGAGGTGTAGGGGGTGAGAGGATTCACGAGAGATGGAGTAGGGAGCAGAACAGGCAGACTGACAGAAATACACTGCTGAGGGGAGCAGCGGGCAAGACAGGAGAGGTCTGCTGCACCATGTGGGTAGCTCCCTGGCCAGCGATCGATCTCATGCTGCAGTGTCTGTGGAGAGCTTCATAGGTTGCGTCTTAACCCCTTGTGCCACCAGGGAGGCCCTGTTCCTAGTTTTTAGAACTGTGGGTAAAGACTTGAGGTGAAAACGCATGACTTGTTTGGGAGATGATGCCAGGAGAGGAATGGTTATCTGGGAGGAATGAGAAAAGCTAGAGCAGTTAAGTAAATTGGGCTTTCTTACAAAGATTCTTGGATTCTAGGATGAAATTGATTTAATTGGAGAGTCACTACAGATTTTTGAAATTGGATGAGACCGATAAATTCTTTCATGTCTTCTGTCATTGGTGGTAGTGGGGTCTATCTTGTTTTCTCTTGGAAAAATTCATGCAGTCTCTCTAATAACTAGCTACACTTTTATTAGATACCTATGTGTCTAAGTGTGGTAAATTCTCAATGTTAGCTGCTACTTTGTTAAATCATTTTCCTCATAACTTCTCATCTGTATTAGAAAATATTCAGATGCAGCGCAACACCTGCAGCCTGTTAAGTTTTCCAATTGCAGACAGTTGTTTATAAGGAGCAGCCTCCTCCTCCCCCAACCCCACACTGAAAAACAAAAAGCAGAACAGGACGTGATCTTTGTTCCAAAGGGCTTAAGGAATTTGACAAAGGAGCACTTACTGCAGTTTCACTTTGGAGGAGTAGGTGGTAGTTTGCTCTTCTACCCCTTGTTTTCTTTATATTGGAGTAAGATCTAGAGTGTGCTCTCCAGTAATTTAGCCACTAAACATGTGTCTGTAGAGCACTTGAAATGTAACTTGTCTGAATTGAGGTGTGCAGTAAAAATGTAAAATACACTTCAGATTTCAAAGACTGGATATTTCAAAGAATATAAACTATCTAAGTAATTTATATTACATGTTGAAGTAACATTTTGAATAAATTAGGTAAAATAAGATATAAAATTATTTTTTTGTTTCTTTTGACTTTTTTAAAGAAATATTTTGATCACATCCAGAGCTTTCCATTATAATACATATTTTTTAAGTCACTCCAGAAGTTTTGTTGTAAAGATATGTTTAAAAAAAAATCTCCACAACTTTCCATTGTAAAAATATATTTTGAGTATTTCTGGAATCTTTGGAATTAAGACACATTGCTTTTGCAATTAGAAATCTGTAGAGTGGGGCCTCCCTGGTGGTGCAGGTGGTTGAGTGCAGCTCTGTGAAGCTGTCTGCAGCCTCTGCAATGCTGGTTTGATCCCCACCAGCTGCAGAGATGCCCACATGGCGTGGCAGACCACTCCTGTCTCCTGCTGCTCCCCTCAGCAGTGTATTTCAGTCAGTCTGCCTGTTCTATTCCCCACTCTGTCTCTGGTGAATTCTCTCACTCTCCCGCACATCTAGCCTTTACCCTGGTTCTTGTATAAATAAATCTTTAAAAAAAAAACCTTAAAAAAAAAAAAGAAATCTGTAGAGTATTATTTTGGTATCATGGAAATGTCCATCTCCTGATTTTTTTTTTTTTGCCTTATTATATTATCTCTTGAATATCCTGACTATGGAAAATGGTAATTTAAAAAATGTAATCATTTATTTCTCATAAATAGTTGCCATTCTTCTTCTGGAAAGAATATTCCTTTTTCTCTTTTTTATTTATTTTAGGTGAAAATTGAATGCCTTGTGGATGGGTCAATTCGTATAGTAGATATTTGATTAGTTTGGTCCAAATGAAATTTTATTTTACTCCCCCCCAATGAAATTTTAAACCATGCAATTTTTAAACTGGAACCAGCTTTTACATGTATAATCATTGATCACTCTTACAAAGGTCCCTACTGTAAATTTTTTTTTGCAGCATTAGTGGTCACTTAATTTGTTACTATCATCTTGAATTTTCATATATAGAATATCATTCAACAAATTATTAATAATGCTTATTATGTTTCAGACACTGTTAACTACTGGACTAGAACAGTGTAGGGTAAATGATTTTCAGCCCTTAGGACTGTATACCTGATGGGGGGCACCTGTGTTTTGTTACATTGTTATTTTCAGTGGTGTTGTTTACTCTTGTGCCACATGGCTGCAGTATTTATATTCTCCAAGAGCCTGCCAGAGAGAGAAGAGAGCGCCAGAGAGAGCTGAAAGAGGAAAGACCAAGGACTTGCCAGGGCCTGAGAGGCCTGCAGGCCTCCTGGCCTCCCAGACCCCTGCCTGCTCTGTACCTGGTTGCTGCACTATGTGAAAGCTCAATAAAAGCCTGAAAAAGCCACCGAGGGCTCCAGGACTCTCCTTTACCCTGTCTGCTGCGATCATAGAAAACCTGCTGTGTGCCCTTCCTGGCACTACAAACAGTAAGCAGAAGAAACATAGTGAGCGAACCCAGTGAGTGAAGGCAATTATGAAGCTATATCTGAAAATTCTTGATTTGGAAGGCTTTTGCTATCAACTGTGCTTTAGTAAGTTCTTTGAAGTTCGAAACTCTAAACAGTCATTTTCTGTGGGTCTGATGAGAAGAATATGTGGCAAAATTGGTAGTTTCTTCCTGTTGTTTTTCTAATTAACAATGAAATGTGATTACAGACTCCTTTCAATGTGCAATTTTTATTCTAATTTTTCCCCTCTAAGGACATTTCCCCCCCAGTTTTCTGGATCCACACTTACATAAGGTGTGGTCCTAGAGGCATAGTTAAGAGGCTTCTAAGACCCTGAAGATTCAGAGGTAGGGGCGCAATCACAAGCCAAGCCCTTGCTTTGTTCTCTAGATCCCCATTGGGCTACGTAGGAAAGCAGCAGCACCACCTCCCTCAGTGAAGTCCATGGAAGTGTCAGGAATTTTAGAGGTTCTAGAAAGCCTCAGAGGGTTGGGACTTCAACTTTCAAATGCCATCTTAAGTGACATGGATCCAAGTACGAGATCTGAACTGCCTTCTGTCCTTTCTTTCACGTTAGTTCTGGGACTCTTCTCATCTTGCTGAATTGGAGCATCTGTCCTGGGAATGGCAACCCCTACTGCTTCTCAGCTACATGGCGTGGCAGAAATCCAAGCCTTTTGAGTTCCCTTAAGGATCTGGTCAGTTGACAGCTAGATCAGGGTTTAATAGAGTTCTCTCTCCAAGCAAAGGATTTCCTCCTCAAAGACAAGTTGCCGTTTTTGATTTATACTAAATCTTAGCAGTTTCTCTCCAGATTAGTAAGACAGATATGTCTGTGTGTATCTGTCTATAAAGAAATATGGTGCCTTATCAGTTAACACTGCTTATGACCTCGGGTTCCAGAATATCAAGGCAACATTCTTTAGAGGAGATGTTTCACTTTGGATTGAATCTAAGTTTAGAATCAGTTTATTGTCAAAGGGAGGCTAGGCCAAGTGACAAGAAAATACCTCTGCTATGAATTGCTTTGGAAATCACTTCTCTGAATTTCCTGAGGATGTTTCCTCACGCAACATGCACTCCCCTCTGCTGCTTTCACTCATGCCATCTGAAGATGAACATTTTATTTCCAACTTGAGGTAGGGAGTAGGGTGATTTCTCCCCATACCAATGTTAGTCTTTGGTTGGGATATCAAATCCATCTGTATAAGGAGCCAGGAAAAGAAAAGTGGGCTTGGGAAGAAAGTAGTTGGTAACATTTTTCATGTCTACTTGAAAAGGGGGCCACTGATTAGTTGCTTGGGGCCTTGTTTGGCTAGTGAAGAGAGAAAGGCTGGCATGGATGAAAGGGTGTCTATTCTTATAATGTTGAATCCTGACCAAGTGAAACATTATTTCTAGTGGCTGCCAGTAATTTTCACCCTTTTGAAATCAAAACTCAAGGGTTTTGGCTTCAGTTAAGAGCTAGATATAATCAAGGAGGCCTGAGTGGAAGTCAGAATGTAGTGTAAGTTTCATTAAGGAAGTGAATAACATGAGACCCCTAGGTCGAAATACCAGGCATGTGGGGACGTGCAGTGATGGATGTACTTGCTCTGAGAAGGATGGAGTGAGGTTTAAAAGGGGTAGATGAATGTGTATCTCTCTTAATACTGCTCCTCCCTTGGAGCAGGTAACTAGAATGACTGGAGTCAGCCTCATGCCTCTTCAGTTGAAGCCTCCCTCTTCTGCTTTTTGGGGTGACCTTTCCTATTGGTCTGCTTGTTCAGATTTTAGCACTGTATGTTTCATCCAGAAAAACCCTTAGTCCTGGGTGAACTGGAATGACTGGTAATCCTGACTGAATTTTAAGGTAACTGGGTAGTATGTATGACAACTGAGAAAATGCCCCAGATCTACTATAAGGGGAGTCACGAGGAGCAATCTTTGAGCCAGTACGTGGTGCTCATTGCCAATTTGATGCTAGCGGGTAGAGATTTCCACATTCCACTCCCTGAGCAGGGTCTGATGGAAAAAAAGGGTGGAGGTCGGTCTTTGGCAGTCAAACCTCTGGTGAAGAGGGGTGTCTGTGGAGAAACTGCTGGCTTGCCATGTGGGGCTATAGCTTGGACCTTGGCCTCTGCTTAGAGGACACTATCTGGGGTAGGACAGATGGTATCTAGTTACCAGTTTATAAATTCATTTTCTTTCCCTTTTCTTGCTCCCTGTGTAAATAAATCCTATTGTTGTTTCTCGTCATCTGTCTGCTTTTGAGTCTGTCCTGCAGTTCTAAGTGTGCGGGTTAGGCCCCACCAACTGGGTCAACCCAAGTTCCCCTGGGTTTGCTCTGTTTCACTTTCTCTGTTACTTGTTTCTCAGAAAAGTATACAGAATACCCTGGAGATATGCGAGATTCTTAAGTTATAATAATAACTATAGTTCCAGCGAATGCATGCTTACGATGTGCCAAGAAGGTGATGCTGTTCAATCCTCACAGCATCTGCAGAATTAGGTTATTTAGATTGGAAGAGGAGACCATAGCTGAGCGATGTGACAAGTTGTGTTTCCCAATATTAAATAACTAGAATGTAGCTGAGCCACAGTTGAACTTTAGTGAGTCTGAATTGAAAAATCTCTATCCACTAAGTGGAGATTTTGATGGCAAAGGGACAGCTGCTCTGATTGAACAAAATTCCTATTCTTAATGGTAGTATAAGATTTTGTGGGAATAATATACAGAGGCTGTATAGGAAGCTATAATATCTACTTTAGTCTGCTATCTGAAGCAGCCTTTGAATAATTGCTTAGTTTTTAAAGGAACTGTAGAAGGTGCTCAGTGATAGGTTACTATGTTTGTTATTTTATTTAACTAATTAATTCTTTTAAAAAGATTTATTTATGCATATAGGAACCTGGGTGTAGGCCAGAGGTGCAGGGGGTGAGAGGATTCATCAGAGACAGAGTGGGGAGCAGAACACGCAGATGAACTGAAATGCACTGCTGAGGGGAGCAGCAGGTGAGACAGGCCAGGTCTGCTGCGCTATGTGGGTCAGCTCCCTGGCTAGGGATCGAACTCATGCTGTAATGGCTGGTGAAGCTAAATAGCACTGAGACTTAACTCCTGCACCACCAACGAGGCCCTATATTTGTTATTTTAATTGGGACACACAGTTATGATCTTGAATTGAAATACTACAACCAATGCATATCACTTCAAAAACTGAAACATAAAATTCACCAAAGATTCAGGATATTAGGAAAGAAAGTTAGTAATACAGTTATTGAGTTCCAAATTAGGTGAGCACATAAACTTTTTCCCCCCACCAAGGAAAAGCTATCATCTTATTTTTCTCATTTGGAAAAGATACAGTACAAAGAGCTAAATGTGTTGAGTTTGTGGAGGGATGCTGGAAGCTTTCAGGCCACTTTGCTTTTATTTCATCAGTTCATACCAGAAAGTAGTGCCTTCACTAGAGAGTGAAGTGCAGATTGGGGTTACTTAGTTGATAGCTGGATTGGAAGAGGACTCAAATATAATAGAAGAGACATGTGGATTCATTTTGATCCATTTCAAATATCATGCACCCCACTGTGTTTCACAGGGTTGTGTGCTAGATTCTGGGGATATGGGGAGAAGCAGCACATGCCTTCTACCCCCAGGGAGCTCACATGGAAGTAGAGGAATAAGATATGTATAAAGGTGGTTTCTGCAGAACCAGCTTGAAGTCTTCAGAAGCCTGTTAATCTGCTCAGGCTTCCGTGGCAAAATACCATAGATGGGGTGGTTTGAGGAACAAATTTATTTTCTCACAGTCTTGAGGCGGAAATCCAAGATCAGGTGCCAACAAGGTTGGGTTCTGGTAAGAACTCTCCCTGACGTGTAGCCTTCTTGCCATGAGCTTACATGGCCTTTTCTCTTTCAAGGACAATAATCTTTGAACCCGGATCTCACCATATTCTGGGTTATTCACTTAATAGTACTTCATGTCCAAGGTCAGTATCTAGTCCAGATTTCATTGTGCCTGGTCAGTTCAGTTCCTTATTGGTGTCTTCAGCAAAGGTTGAAAAATTTAGGGTGTAGCCACTTAGGATCTATTTGCACATACTCAGACACAGTAAACTCATCATACATCCTTCAGTCGACAAAATAGCTGCGAGAGGTAGTTTTTTCAACTTATATTGAAAAAACCGAAAGCAGAGAGCCCCAGTGTCTTAGCCAAGGTCAAGCTTCCAGGAAGGGGCATGCTAGGATTTGAATTGAGTCTCTTGGTTCCAAATTTCAGAACTTAGCTATTAGAAACACAGAGCTATACTGAGGAAGTAGAGTGAATATTGAGTATAAGGATAGGATTTTTCTTTTTTCTTTTTTTTAAAGATTTATTTATGTATGCATACAAGAGCTGGGGTACAGGCCAGAGGTGTGGGGGGTGAGGACTCACCGGAGACAGAGTAGGGAAGAGAAGAGGCAGATTGACCGAAATACACTGCTGAGGGGAGCAGTGGGCGAGTCAGGAGAGGTCTGATGAGCCAGGGATTTTTCTTTTTTGAGGTGTGGTTGCTTGGATTTTTCTTTTTATTGAAGTGACATTAGTTTACCAGTGTAGGTTTCAGATATAATCTTTTTTACCTCATCAGCTGTATGTATTACACCTCTCCCACCACCCAATGTCCATTCCCCAACCTCCCCCAACCAGTTGTCTCCCTTTACCTCCTTCCCCCCTCTGGTAACCACCATTCTTGTCAGAGTTGAGTGGCAGGATTTGGAGTAATAAGTCCATTCAGGGACCTCCCTGGTGGCGCAGGGTTTAAGTCAGCATTATCAAGCTGTCACCAGCCACTGTGGCCTGATTTCTATCACCAGCCAGGAGCTGACACACATGGTGCAGCAGACCTCTCCTGTCACGCTCGCTGCTCCCCTCAGCAGTGTATTTCAATAGATCTGCTGTTCTGTTCCCCACTCTGCCTCTGGTGAATCCTCTTATCCCCTGCACCTCTGACTACATCCCAGTTCTTGTATGTATAAATAAAATAAGTTTTTAAAAAATGACATTCATAGAGAGAGCAAAAAGTCAGAGGAGTAGATATGACGCAGGAGAAGAAAGGCACTTGTGCTAGGACAGAAGAGGCACTGCTGCTGTCTCTTCTTTATCACTCGGCCTTGGTTTAGCAGTTATCTTTCTGAACCATCTTCTTTCTTTTCAAGTTAATCACCATCCTTGATTCTTCAGGACCCACGCATCAGCCCAGGCTGTGGTGAAACAGCCTGTCCGGGGAAGCAGTGGCCGGACCACAATCACAACCATTGTGCAGACTGGTGGAAACTGGAGCACCGGCCTCTTCAGTGTCTGCAGAGATAGGAGGATTTGTATGTTGTTCCTCTTGATTTATGTTCTCCTTTATTGCTTTCATCCCCAAGACATCAGTGGGTGGAAAAGCTATATCAGCTACAAGGACAGAAATTAAATGGCTTCAGGATAACTGGACTAATTTAGTGACTCAAATATACTCCTTGCCAGGAAAAAGCTTGCATTTCAGGGGTATGGATGCTTCTTATAGAATAATAGGTGACTTAAAAGATTTTTAAGATGACAAAATCCACTGAAATGAAATGGGTTCCCCCATTCACTGTGCATAAATTGGTACAGTCTTTCTGGTGGATGACTTAACAATACACATTAAAAAACCCTCAAATATGATACAGTTTTTGGCCCAGTAATTACTTTTTCAAACATTTAGTCTAGGGAAATAAATCACGAGCAAAGATTTAGCAGCGACATTGCATTTCACATCCCTGGTTATTAAAGTGACTCCCTGGAACAACCTGTATGCTCAGCAGGGCATCCAGAGCAAGAGTAGTATAGTCATGAAATAATGCGTTGTAGAATAACATTTAATGGGATGAAAAGATGTTTTGGATACATTTTAAAAAAAGATTTTATTTATTAAAACATACAAGAACTGGGGTGTAGGCCAGAGGTGCCGGGGGTGACAGGATTTGCCAGAGAAAGAGTGGGGAGCAGAACAGGTGGATTGACTGAAATACACTGCTGAGGGGAGCAGTGGGCGAGGCAGGAAAGGTCTGCCATGCCATGTGGGTAGCTCCCTGGCCTGGGGAATCAAATTTATGCCGCAGTGGCTGGCGATAGCTTGATAGCACTGAGACTTTAACCCCTCCAACCGGCAAGGAGCTTGGATACATTTTTTTAATTTTTTTAAGATACAGGTGAAGATTGTTAAACTATACATGTCACACCATTTGGGAGAAAATGCTTAGACAAATATCTGGAAGGTTACAAATACGAATGTTTACAGCAAATGTCTTAAGAAGATGGTCTAATGAGTAAGCTTTTTTTTTTGCTGATCTCTTTCTGGTATTTCTATGAGGAATGCATAGTACTCTTAGAAACATTAAGAACAGGGCCTCCCCAGTGGTGCAGCGGTTGAGTGCTGAGTTGCGAAGCCATGCAGCCTCTACAGCGCTGGTTCTATCCCCGGCCACCGGATGAGGGTCCCAGATGGCACGCAGACCTCTCCTGCCGCCCGCTGCTCCCCTCAGCAGTGTACTTTGTCAGTCGGCCTGCTCTGCTCTCCGCTCTGACTCTGGTGAATTCTCTCACCCTCACGTGCTTCTGACTGTACCCAGTGCTTGTCTAAATAAATAAATAAATAAATCTTAAAAAAAAAAGAAACATTAAGAACAATCACAAAAAGAAGCCCCTTCATTGCTGAAATCTTGAAACACTGGTTCAACTCTAAAGTGGTCCCAAGCACTGTTCTCTAGTCACAAGACTTTCCACAGCTTTGAAGTTCAAAGTCATCAATTCTATTTTTACTTCACCATATTTTGAACCGTTTGTGGTGCTATGTGTCAGTATCTTCTTCCAGGGCCAAATACCCTTGGCCTAGGTGGAAACCTCTGTTACAGAATCTCTTCTGGAGAGGTCGGTCCCTTTGATGGTGGGGGGAGAGGAGGTCAGTGTCAAGTTCAAAATCTACAGACCCTTTTTTGAAGCATTGTCCTAAAACCTTATAGACTGGATCACTTGAAGAGCTTGTGGGCTTTAGATGATCCAAGGCCTTATTCAACTGAGAGTCTTGCTGAAGCAAAAAAGCTCTTAACATTTTTTAGTGCTGTGGCCATCTGGAATGGAGCCTTCACTGTTTGTCTGGGTTTCATAGGAAAGACACTGCCTTGCACCAAATCCTGCCCTCCACCCCTGTCCTTTGCCCACCTGACCCAGTGCTCAGCTGCTTTCCTCCTGCCTCTGCCTCCCATGTGGACTTCTGACCAGACAACTAGGGCAACTGCTCCCTCAGTCTCAGGATTCTTCCGTATCTCTTCCAGAGCCTCAGCCTTTGTGTCACCTGGTGCTGAAGTACAGAGAAGGCAGCATAGCCTTGTGGGGATGTGGAGATCTAGACCCGTTTTGCTTTTAGGTTGTAGTTGGGGCTGGAGGGGTCATCAGTGCATTTCCAAGTAGGAAAGCCTGGTATTTAATGGTGGGTAGGGGAACTGTTTGTATCATGTAGTGACCTTGCCTGGAATCTTAACTCTGGCTCTTAAATAAATTTTCTGTGTCTTCATTTTTCCATCTCTAAAATAATGATAAAGACCCAGCTCAAGGATTGTTGTCAGGATTAAAGCAAAGAGTGCACAGAGCTTTTTTTTTTTTTTTTAAAGATTTATTTATGCATACAAGAGCTGGGGTGTAGGCCAGAGATGCGGGGTGGGTGTTGAGAGGATTCACCAGAGACAGAGTGGGAAACAGAACAGGCAGACTGACTAAAATACACTGCTGAGGGGAGCAGTGGGCGAGACAGGAGAGGTCTGCTGTGCCATGTGGATAGCTCCCTGGCTGGAGATCGATCTCATGCTGCTGAGGCTGCTGATAGCTTCATAGTGCTGTGACTTAACCCCTTGTGCCACCAGGGAGGCCCCCTCAGAGCTTACTTTTAATATCAGTTTGGAACATAGTTGGTCAGTCAGCAATTTGGCTGCTGGGTTAAATAGTACCCCTTCAAAATTCATTTAACTTAGACCTCATTTGGAAAGAGGGTCTTTGCAATATAGTCAAGTTAAAAAGAGGTTCTCTTGGACTAGGTAAGTCCTAATCTACTGGCTGGTGTCTTTGTAAGAAGGGGAAAATTGTATACAAACATGCAGAGTTGAGGCCACGTGAAGACCAAGGCAGAGATTGGAATAATGTACCTCCAAGTCCCTCTGCCGCATACTCAGCCAGCCCTCATTGGGTCCCTGAATGCAGGGACCACAGTTGTCTTGTTCCCCGCTCGTGCCCAGCAGAGTACCTGGCTCATAGGAGGTGCTTAAAAATATTTCCTGAAGGACACACAAATGAATGCATTTTAACTTGCAGTCCTGTTTCTTTTCTTGCACTTCATTGAAACAAGGATAGAAGCTCAGAGTCTGAAGGGATATTAGGGCCAAGTGATCTGGTCCCTCACCTGCTGCCTGAACCCGTCTGCAGCATGCCTGGCGAGGGCCTCATGCTGGTGCTCTGGACACTTCCAGGGTGGAGGGCGCTCTGCTTTGGAGCCAGCTCGGGGCTTACAGATTTTTCTGAATAGGTTACTGTGCACAAGATGTAAAATTCAAAAGTACCTACCCATTTCGTATTTGAAAATCAAGTACTCCATCCTTGTTCTCCTTCTCCACAATCTCAGAGGTAATCACTCTTAAGTCCAGACACAGTCTATGTGCTTATAAAGATATAAAAAAAACTATAGTGATGTTGGTTAATTATGTCAATGAAGATGGATAATTATTTATAAACCCAGAAAAAAATTTTGAATGAAACTTTTTTTTCTTAACCGCTTGCTCCACCACTTCTCTACACCATTAACACTTTTTAAAAATATATATTAATTTTTAAAAATTTTTTACATCATTGTTCATTTTAAAACAACATTTACTTCCCCCCACCCCCTCAGGTGTAGTCCCCATAGAGTTTCCTTCCCCAATGCACCCGTGCACCATCACCTCAGTCCCTGTGCTCCTCCCTCCCTCCCTCTGATCCCTCTCCCTCCTCCTCCCCTGCAGGGTGTCTCTGATTTATAATTGTCTGTTTTTGCTTTGTTGTGTTTTTACACTGATGTCTTATTTGATTCCCCTATATATTCCTGCTATTAAGTGAAACCATGCGATAATTTTCTTTTTCCTTCTGACATTTCACTGAACATAATTCCTTCTAGTTCCATCCACGTTGCTGCGAATGGCATGAGTTTATCTTTTTTTGATAGCTGAATAATAGTCCATTGTTTCTATATGCCACATCTTCTTGATGCAGTCATCTGTTTTTGGGCATTTGGGTTGTTTCCAGGTTTTGCCTATTGTAAAGAGTGCTGCAATAAACATAGGGGTGCAGGTGTTCTTTTGAATCAGTGTTTTTGTGTCCTTTGGGTAGATCCCTAGGAGTGGAATTGCTGGGTCATATGGTAGCTCCATTTTTAGTAGACTGAGGAACCTCCAGACAGCTTTCCATAGAGGTTGGACCAGTTTGCACTCCCACCAGCAGTGTGTGAGAGTTCCTTTTTCATCCTCACCAACATTTGTTGTTGCTTGTTTTTTTTGATATGTGCCGTTCTTACTGGTGTAAGGTAGTATCTCAATGTGGTTTTAATGTGCATTTCCCTGATGATAAGGGACGTTGAACATTTTTTCATATGCCTGTTGGCCATTTGCATTTCCTCTTTGGAGAAATGTCTTTTAAGTTCTTCTGCCCATTTCTTGGCTAGATTGTTTACTTTGTTTTTGTTGAGTCATGTGAGTTCTTTGTATATCTTTGTGATCAGTCCCTTATCAGTTGACTGGGGTGCAAAGATTTTTCCCCAATCAGTGGGGTGTCTCTTTGTTTTGGTTAATGTCTCTTTTGCTGTACAGAATCTTTTCAGTTTGATGTAATCCCAGGTGTTTATCTTTTCCTTGACTTTCTTTGCTTTGGGTGATGAGTCTTTAAAAATGTTATTGCGTTGTATGTCTTGTAGTGTTTTACCTATATTTTCTTCTATATATTTTATAGTTTCAGGTCTTATGTCCAGATCTTTTATCCATTTTGAGTTGATTTTTGTGCATGGTGTGAGGTAGTGCATGTGGTGGTCCAGTTTTCCCAGTGCCATTTATTGAACAAACTGTCCATGTTCTGAATGAAATGTTTTTTCATTGTGACACTATTAGATAATTGTAAAAAGGAAAATGCCAAAAAGTGTCCTATAATAGTAAACCTTAAAGGTAACCGTTATTGATATTTTGGTTTCCTTCTAGAGTGTTTGCTCTCTGTGTGTTTTTGTGATTACACAAATAGTATTGTAAACATACTGTGCAGTAACTTTGTTTTACAGTATGTTTGG